TCTTCTCCCTGAATGTCTAAACAAAGTTCCTTCCATTGAACATTCAGTGTCATTCCTTTTTAGTTGTATGTATCTTGATTCACATCCTGACTCTTTCCTCCTACTTGTGTTATCTTTGGCAAGTTCTTTATCTGTCTAACCCTCTTTTTCTACACCCTTTCCCCCTCCACCAGAGCTGAAATGCTGTGGTTGATCACCTGCAAATGTTACCTGTTCAAAGTTTGTGGGCCAATATTCAATACATCGAAATTTAGAGTAAGGAAAGGTTTATTGATCAAGAAGGCCCAACTCAAGCAGATGGGGGTGCCTTATAGCTTTTGAAAATCCATCTTAAGAAAGCCCAGAATTCAAGCATCTTTTATATCAAGGGAAAGGAGGAGAGTAAGGCAAAAGTGGGTGGGGGTTGTAGACAGCTAGGCGATGGCAGGGATCCAAGGAAGAGGGAAATTTCTAAATCTCTGTTTCCAATTGGTACATTAATCCTGCCCCCCCCCCGACACACACACACACACACACAAACTGATCTGGGTCCAATCTAGAAGATCCTGTAAATCTTTGATAAGCAGGCTAGAATTCAGAAAGAGAGCACAAACATTTTACTAATTACACAAGGACAGAATATTCTGACCAGCTGTGCCCTTAAATGAAACCTTTGGCTCCAGGGCTAAGCATGAACCCAAGATCACGGCCTATTTATGACCTCTAACCCAAGTCTGATTCAATCTGAATCAGAAATGACTCCTCAATTGTGGAAATTCTTATCTCTAAAATTAAGCTAATCCCAACAAACCTAGGTTTGCAAGCCAACCCCAGAAATAAAACCTCTGAACCCAGGCCTGATTCTTTTTTTTTTTAAACTCTTTATTAGTTAAGGTATTACAAATGTGTCTTCATCCCCCCCCCATTAAATCCCCATCCTCCCCCACACACACAAGGCCTGATTCTTCATAAACTGGTCCTGAAGGCTCCAGCCTTAACTACTTATCACATTCTCAGGACTTTCCTTGTTCTAACACAGGCTGATTCCCCCCACAGCTGTGGAATGACCTTAGTCCAAGACTGGCAACTCCTGTTGTAATGGGGACCACCCACTTCATATCCGCCTGCTGCTCAGCTCACTATGGGAGCCTCTTTCTTCAAGTACAATCTGTCCCCACAGATTCCAGTCAAGGGCACATACCTTGGTTGCAGGCTAGAGCGCATGCACAACCAATCAATGTGTCTCTCTCACATCTATGTTTCTCTCGGTGTGTCTCTCCCTTTCCCTTTCACTCTCTCTAAAAATCAATGGGAAAATATCCTTGGATGAAGATTAACACCAACAAAAATTTTTTTAAATAAGAAACTAGCACTCTTGTGACAGATCCTTTTAAGTACCAGGAGTAGAAACTGAGAGGGAATTAGAGCCAGAAGATGAGGATAGTGGTATATTCTATATTTTCTTTTTTGTTTGCTTCTTCTTTAAAATGTATATTACTTTCAGTAAGCATAAAATTCATGTTTGTATTGTTTTGTTTTCTAAAATAATCATGAAATTCGGAGTGTCTCCCCATATGAGGAGTCTGGATTAACTTTTCCACCAAATACCCCCAAACAAGCAATCATCAATCAAATCAGTAAACATTCCCTATACTGTGTATATCTTTCCAAATTTACAGAGGGTATACAGGATTTGTTTCTGAACATGTTCCATATTTACACCTGTATTCCAACACTGCAACATTCAAGTCGCTGCCATTTTAAAGTCATATCCAAGGACTTCCCGATATCTACACTTCCAACAAGCCAAAGATTAAGCAAAATAAAACAGAAACAGTCCCTAATGTTGAAAAGGAAGGAAATATATTTTTTAAGAATACGTTTTTATTTGACTTTTTAAAGAGAAGGGAAGGGATGGAGAGAGAGACAGAGAAACATTGATGTGAGAGAGAAACTTTGATCAGTTGCCTCCTGTATGCACCCTGACCCCTCTGGTGATTGAACCTGCAACCTAGGTGTGTGCCCTGACCGGGAATCAAACTGGCAATCTTTTGGCACATGGATGACACTCCAACCAACTGAGCCACAACGACTAGGGCAGGAAATATTTCTTGACAAGGAATATGCCAGGCCTAATTGAAACAATTCAGGAACTCTAGTCAATGAAGACACACACACACACACACACACACACACACAAAAGGATAGGCTAACAATTATCACCCATGTAAAAGGAAAGAATAACAGGAAGCTGGATAATTACTAGAATTGTAAAAATAATTTTTACGATTATTTTTAAAACAGCTTTTATAAATCCAAACCTTCAGTTCAACCTAGATGCTTACTATATACTTACATGTACATATGTATGTTTTACCTTTGTATGTATTCAGGTTTTGTCCGCACAGTATTTCTTTCTCAACTTTCTAAAATAATTTTTTTTAAGCCCTGACCGGTTTGGCTCAGTGGATAGAGCCTGCGGACTGAAGGGTCCCAGGTTCGATTCCGGTCAAGGGCATGTACCTTGGTTGCGGGCACATCCCCAATGGGGGGTGGGCAGGAGGCAGCTGATTGATGTTTCTCTCTCATCACTGTTTCTAACTCTCTATCCCTCTCCCATCCTCTCTGTAAAATTTCAATAAAATATAAAAATAAATAAATAAAATAATTTTTTAAACACACAATATATATTTTTTCTCATAACCTAGGATAAATTCATCTTATCATCCAAGAATTCGGTATCTGGCCATAATTCTCTTTTGGGGATGGTTAATTCCTGACAGTCTATATATACTGTGGTAACCAGGAGATGTCCCTCATTAAACAGGGGAAAACCTTGAGGATTGGAGAGCCTGACGTGCCCAACATGATATGGGGAGTTCCAGCCAAAAGAAAGACACCAACCAGTGCTCACTAATTTGTGTTTGCTCTGCCTCCTGGGGGAGCACCTCTGAGCGAAAGCCCCAGAGCTTCAGTGATGTTCTAGGGG